ATAGATAGATAGATAGATAGATAGATAGAGAGAGAGAAAAAAGAGAGAGGGAAGAAGCCACTATGCAACGCATATGGGTGAAAATGAACAGCGTTTTCGCCCATAAGCTCGACATTGATTTTTTCGGATGTCGTGGATTAACCGCAACGGACATAGTAGGTCCATTGCGGTATTTTTTCACGCAAAAAATCACAGGCAACCGCCATGGCTCCCGTAGATCCATAGCGGTTTTTAAGACAAAACCGCCACTGACATAGTATATCCGTATTGGGGGGTAAAATACTATTCAATTTTACCTGTTGATGTTTTTAAGAATTTTCTATATATATATATATATATAATCTCTCTCTCAAATAGTTCACGATGTAAGCTATTCAGAACCCCAAAAGAGTTCAAGATCCCGGGTCAAAATGTTGGAAACCGTACTTTAACTTTGGGAAGAGATCAAGCGTGTTCTTGTTTTTGGGTGGCAGGGAAGGGGGTGGGAACGAAAAGGATGCTTCTTTTCTGGAAACTTGATAATGTTGTGCAAATTTTTGAGAAGTGCAACACAGATATAAATCAAGTCAAATATTAATTAAGAATTTCACAAACTTGGGTGACAACCAAACATCTTCTTCTCAATATGCAACACTGTTTCTATGCAACAAAAACTGAAATTATCCCCACCAACTTCGAAATGGCATAGTAGGAAAACTGATCTAAGGTTGCGCCATAAAATAAGGGTTATGAATATCATGTTTAAGGTGGTTAAAATAAAAATGAATGCTGAAATGCTGAAAGACGAGAAAACAAAACATTTAGATCTTGGTGATATTTCATGACGATGACTCATGAATCCACACACCCCCAAAATCACAAACATTGATGTATCACAGAGATATTTCATGACAAAGACTCTTGAATCTGCACACCCCGAAAATCACAAACATCGATCAAAAATCGCAGATACACGTGCGTGAAGAAATGAAATGAAATGAAACTGGAGATAGACCATTAGTATAACAATAAATGCACCAGCATTTTCGAGGGCAAAATGAAAATGAAAATGAAAATGCAATAGGAATCACGTACCGGCCTCTTCATCCTTGTGATTTTGCGCCATGAACCTGAGCAAATACTTGAAGGTTTCGATCTCACAAGGGATCGTCAGGGCGCCCTTGTGATAGAACCCGAATTCCTCCTCTGCCTTCTCTAGCAACACCTTGAAAACTGGTTGTGTCAGATAATCCGTGGGAATTACGAATCTTCGGAGTTCCGGCCCCACATACACCGCGAGATACCCTTTCGGGACATCTGGTGGTGGATCGGGACTCGGGCAACTCTCCTCATCGGAATCACAATACAAATAGATGTTTTTGAGTCGTCTGTTGGTCGCCGGAGAAATCCCCCTATCGCCTGAGACACGGTGGGTCATTGTGATTGCCTGCCATTTCTTGATGATATCTCTGAGCCTTACAATATTGCCTATGGGGTTGGGCTTTGAGGGGGGCTCGGTCATGGTGAGCAAGGAAGGAGGCCGGGTTCGCAGGAAGGGGAGGAAAATGGAGCTCTTGGTCTTATTACAGTGACAAGAATTAGTGTTATTTTTATTGTCTTGTCAGTGAAGGGGACTCGAGATTCGGGGAATAAAAAGGAAAAATGTGGTAATTATAGGGAGTTGTTTAATTACACCGAACTCGGCTTTAATTTAGACAGAAATCTCACATTTGTTGGTTCTTCATCTGGTTTATGTTCTCAGAGAATGTTTTTGCGATTCCCACTTATAACATCGATGGAATTGTTTAACCCAATTTCTTTTTTTATGGGTGTGTTTTGTATAGGGCCGAGGCTCTAAATCGTTAAAGTAAGACGCGCCTTTAAATGGTGTTGAAAGATGTTGTTTCAATATTCGACATCTTTGTGATGATCCGAAAATTTATTTTCATCTTTAATTATAAAATTTAAAGCTTCAAAAATAATGTAGATCGAGTATATCTCTGAACTTTTAAAAATCGACGGTCCAAAAATGCATTACAAGATACACTATTTTCGAGACTTGAAATCTTTTTCTTTTCGTGTCCATACATCTTGAAATAGAGATGATCGATCTATTTTTGAAATAACCTCTTGTAGTTAATTTTTGAGGCGCGCCTTAATTTAATTGTTTAGAGCTTCACCCTTATATAAAAATTTTCTTTATTTGAGCAAAAACTAAGGCCGCCAATGTGCCCAGGCTGATCGGCCTAGCATTTTAAAAAATAGGGCTTGGGCTAAAAATTGTGGCCCTACGCTGAGCTATGCCTAGTGATTGGTTCGGCCTAAGCCCCCTTTCTTTTTTTTTCTTGTCTTTTTCCTTTAGTTTTTCTTTATTTTGTACGGCCCACCTATCCTTAATAGGGCCAAGGCCGAGATTGGGCCAAACTAAGACTAAGGCTGGCCCATCCTAAGCTCAACCTATTGCCACCCTTAATAAAAACCTGGATAAGGGTGACATTGAGAAATCCAAATCAAGATTTTTTTATTTTTTTATTTTTAATAATTCAGCAAATTAAACTAAAGCACTAACGCTAGAACTGCTAACCCCTCAAGCCCAAAGTCCTAAGAATCAAGCTATTTCAAAATACGCCAAATGTAGATAGGGTGAAAGGTGTGAAAGTCGGGTTATTTGGATTCAATAATACTCTATATTTGGCATGAAAATTTGTTAGACGGAGACCAATTCCGGCGTAATTTCTGGTCCAAATTTATCAAATTTGAGGGCCACTTTCACGATTACCTAGAAAATCAATGCTGGAGTGGCAATAATTATGGGCATATCTTATGACTAATATGTTTTAGACTTTAATGATGAGGAAGTCATATATTTATGATTTGTTTAGCAAAAGAATCGTTGATGTCTTTTAGTGAGGCAGCAAGCTAATATAACATTTCACATTACAGCAATAGTAATTGCCACCAGGTGGCACGCTGTCTCAGAAACAGAAACGACGTCTTTCACGGTGGTTAATTAATGGAAAGGAAAAGGTTAAAGCAGAGGGAGAGCTGAGAGCTCTTTCTGCGGTGCCAATGGGACAGGTGGCCTTTCCACACCCAGTTGTTGTCCAAAGCTTAAAAGTGAGGACATGGGACACAATATGAGGCCTGAGGGCTGGGCCTGGCCCTAGCCCTCGGCTGCATAGGATCGGCTTTCGTTTGGCTCATCTTTTTTTTTTATAAATATATCTTGCCGACCGGCTTAGCCTCGGCTGACCAAGCCAGGCTAGAGCCGGCCCTATGGGGTTTAAGGTAGTGGCCAGTCCAATGCCAGCTCTATTGATAAAGGAACAGCTACACCTGCAAGTCGATGCCTGAAAACAAAAATAACAAAAATTGTCTCCCCTCCCCTATTGAGACCTGCAAGTAGTTGTAGGCAGCCACTAATTCAATTTCAATCAATTCACAATTTCAATTAATTGAAATGAATTTAAATCCAAATGTTGAATTTAGAATCAGCCCCTTGTGGGTGCATGAACTTTCTCAAATTTTTTACATTTTTAGTGCCTAATTAGAGAAGAAGATATTATGGAATTCGTGGCCTGTTAGTGGTAGAGAGAGGAGATATGAGAATTACGTAATATGCGAATTTGACTTGAGGATAAGGTTGAGAAAAAAGAACATTATCATAAGATAACTCCCTTTTTTGATACGATTGATTCCCTCATGGGTTATTTTCAATTTAAGGCGTTAAAGAAAGATACACATGAAGAGATTTCACATTGAGATGTATGTATCCCTTTAAAAAGGGTTTCTCTGTCTACGACTAAAAGCTTCCATTTCTCTCCCAGTTTTCTATCTCTAGAAGCATTAGATAGTCCTAGAATGAAAACTGATGGTCATCTAAGACTCTCAAGCCTTTCATCAAAAGCTTGGGATTTGCGTTACGTATACAATACTGCCGATTTTAATAATCGGTTGTCAGCCTTGACATATAAGTATCGAACTCTCAAACAAGATGATATGCATGAAGAATCAGATCTAAAAAAGATAAGTCATTTCTATCTTATCCATTTACTTTTGTATTTTCACTTCTTTCGAGCTTCTTTTTTAATCCTATACCACATATAAACAAAAATCTCTGAAATTATTGATTGGCCTCCATCAAGGAGGGTTGTGATTTATAGGCAACGCCTGTTTTTTGGCTTACAAATGGAGAAAAGATGGCTAAAATGCAAGTAAAAAAACTCAAGTTAAATAATAATTACAAAAAGAGCAAAACATTCGAGTTAAAAAATGCAGGAAACCTTTATTGCCTTACTGAAAACCCCAAACCATGCTCTTATACCACTTGTTGTGCTCTGATACCACTTGTTGTATGCGCGGAAGCAATAAACCCGATGGGTCAATATTTAGCAAATGAAGTATGAGAAATAAAATATGCAACACATACCACAAGAACACAAATATTTAAGTGGTTCACCTCAAAATGGTTACATCAACGAGCATGGTAAACTGAAATCCACTATACTAATGAAATTTATATCAAATATTTTGGAACAAACATCGACAAAACTCAAGTCGAGCAAACCCTTTAAAACCACTCTCCATTCCTTCTATTTACTTCTGTCAAACATTACCAACAACACCAGATAGAGACACGAGAGCAACAATAAACTAACTTTCTCTCTAACTAAAGGAGAACAACCCAAAATCTCTATAGGACCGCTTGTCTGCAAGAAACAAACAATCCTCTCAATCTTCAGGAGTTTAAAAGAGACATCATGACAATGTTTCTGTCTAAATGAAGCTTTCTTCTCTCTAAGAAGAAATTGCATCTTATGCACAAGAGACTCTAGTTCCCTCTCTCTCTAGAGGAACCACCATTCCTATATGGTGACCCAAATAGGGCACACAAAAATTCTCTGTACTTTCATCACTTATATATAAAATTAGGAGTTCGTAATAAATAGGAAACTTTCTATTGATATTACATATATCTCAAAAGACCAAGAGATATATCCAAGAGAGTTCTAATCTTTTTGGATTTCTATTTCCCTTAAGAAACTTATCAATATCAATCTCAATCCCATATAATATGGGAATATCTCAATCCCACATAATATGGACCAATCTTGATCAATCCCACAAAATATCGGATTTCTTTATGTGGGTGATTTTGGATAGCACCAAGTCCAATAGATAATGGCCCTAGTTGTTAGAGTCACGTCACTCTTGTCTTCCATTACAAGAGACATTTGAGGGGAGATCCAAATGTTCCAAGGGCCCTTTGATTGTCCCCAAATGGTACTAACGTTGTAGGTAACCTGTACGACCCTTGAACTTGTGTGATTACTAGCATGCTTACTGTGAGAATACTGTTTCTCTGTATCGATTTGGTTACAATGGTAGATTTATACAGAAGGAATTTGCATGTACATGCAATATACAGTAAATACTTGCTAAATCTGTAGGATAATCATGTACTTGCAGGTTGCTACATCCGTTCACATGCACTTCCAGGTTGTTATATCCGTTCACATGCACTTGTAGGTTACTATATCCATTCACACTCCCCCTCCAAATCGAGATGATTTGAAAGGAATCATGGAGAGTTTGGAAACAAACTGCGAGAAGTGATGCGGAGTATAAGATTTGATAAAGAAATCTACGAGTTAAGCGACAGAGGGCACATATGGTAAAAAAATTGTGCCTGCCAAATATTATTGTTGAGCATAGTGGCAATTGACTTCAATATGTTTAGTGTATGCATGAAACTCAAGATTTTTTGAAATGTAAATACTACTCTTGTTGTCTCAATAAAGTGGAGTAAGAGTAGAAATGGAGACATCTATTTCTTCGAGCGGCCAACGTAGCTAAACATTCTCAATGGTAGTTTGTGTCACAGCCCTATATCCAGCTTTCATAGTAGATTGAGCAATTCGTTTTTGTTTATTTTTTTCCTATGAAATAAGAGAGTCACCAAGAAATAAGCAAAACCCTGAGGTAGATTTGCGGTCACTTGGATTCCGTGCATAATTGGAGTCTGTGTAGGCCCAAAGCTCAAGTGAAGAAGAAGAGGAGAAAAATAAAGCATAGTGAAGGCAATCCCTAATATAATGAATGATGTGCAAGATGGCAGCGAGAAGAACAAACGACAAGTACTCAGAGACTGACTATCCATACGAACTACGTACGCAATATCTGAGCGTGAAATTGTCAGATATATCAATTTTCCAACCAGTTGTCTATAAAAGGTTGGATCAAGAAGAACATCACCATCTATAGCCCGAAATTTGGCATTTACTTCAAGGGAAAGGTTTCTATGCTTCCCCTATAGCATAGAAGTTCTATCCTCCCCCTATTATCCGGCCGCCAAGTTTTGATCAAGAGAGCCACTTACCGTTTGATCTTAGATCCGACGTCTCAAAGTATTTTATTTTTAGTTTTTTTATACAGATTGTATGAATATAAAAATTGGTACGTGCTATCTTCTCATTGGGGCTCACTTATAAAAAATATTAAAAATATTTTTTTGATAAAATATAATGACCAAAATACCCCTTGAAACTTTCAGGGGTATTTTGGTCATTTTTTATTGAAAATGCAGTTTTTATATTTTTTGCTAGTATGAGTTTAATAGTGGAATGGATGTCCAAATTTTGGTATCAAAATATTCTATAGAAAAAAATTAAAAATAAAATAAGGTAGAGACATGACATTGTGATTGTGATTGGGGCAATCTTAGGCCTCCATTCAGAATGGACGGTTGGATA